TATGCTGCTTACTACAGCGACGCCATCACACTTATGACGTAATAATACTGTCACGTGTTTACAATAAAACGTCATCAATAAAAAGTAAATACAGTATAGCGGAAAATTTTCGTGGTCCAAAATTTTCGTAGATTCGTCCAAAAATCAATTTCGTGGCTTTAATTTTCGTGGTTTTCTACAATTCGGCCATCTTAAACTGTATAAAATCAATTTTCGCGGATTTTATTTTCGTGGATTTTGAAAAAAACGCGAAATCCGCAAAAATTTTGGGCCACGAAAATTTTCCGCTATATGGTACTATGGCGCTCTGTGAAGAGTTGCTGCTCTCAAATCTGCAAAAGATGTCCAAGAGACTCAATCCTCGACTTTTCTTAGCTGCAAAGCATCTCTTTCAGCTGTCTTGACTGATCTGGTCTCCTCGGTCACATGATGTAGGGTCAACCACGTGTTCTTCTTTGCACACATTTTAGATAGCAGTGTCTCCAGACCCTTCCTCTGCAGGTAGCGAAGGGATGTGGTGAGACTATGCTTGTGTAAACTGACTGCCCACACTACATACTTGTGTGTGGCTCCACCGAAAATTTGGTGGAGTAAAACTTTGGCGAATTTGGCGAATTGAGGTCCATTTGCCAAAATTTTACTCTCCAATTTTAATAAGGCTCCATAGAACCATACAGAGTTAAAATTTCACCAAAATTTTAACCTCCAAACCTCTTTTAGAGTCAACTTGCCAAATTTTAGCACTCCAAATTTTCTAGCTATACGGTATATCATTTATACAGCAAATTGCACAGACCTTGCAAACCAATTCATAAACCACTCTAAAAACTTCAAAGGGACTGTCTAAATTGAGGTGTGTCTTGCATTGTGTGGTCACATTACCACCTACTTGGCAGTTTGCAAGGTCTATGCAAGTAGCTGTAATACAGCGGTGAGTGCTATATGGTGTATTTAGGCACCTCGTCCTTGGGCTATAGCACTTACCACTGTGTTATAAATATTACATATGCACTATTTGAACTTGAGGGCAAAGCAAAAAATGAGCATATTGCATTTTTTGGGTGACCAAAAATTTAAATATGTTTTCTTGAGCAGTATAATAAAGATCATGACAATTCAATGACTTCATAATCTTTCAGAGGTGATATTCTTTGACCATGAACTCATAACATTACCCACACTGCCATCAATAAAAATTCTGACTGAAGTTATTTCAAGGGTCAAACATTTTATTTAAATGGTGTGACTGGAAATAAAAGTTTAATCAATTTACAATGCTTGCAAAATTGACTCCTGTTTTAGATTAGGCATTGCCACTCTAAAATGCCCAACACTGCAGCCATTTATGATGAAGATATGGCCATAGGCGGCTAAAGAATTTTGAATTAACCAGGGCTCATTAATTATTCATAAGATTTGGGGGTGTGGTCAATTAATAAAATGAATAATAAGTCATTATGATAGCTCACAAAAGCTAGTTACCACACTAAAACAACTGTAAAATGGAGCTGATCATAAGTATAAACAGTTGTGGTTATAAAAAATGAATTTTAGTGATGATCTCACTCCTAATAATAACAAGACACACCTTTTGGGTGTGGTTTTGGTTGAAAACTACCAGGGCAAAGCCCTGGCTTGCCCGGGCCTATAGCCGCCTATGGATATGGCACAGATGGTCTATGCAAGGTTTCTTAGCATAATTTCTTCTTTTTAAAGTTGCTCAAAAAATTGGTATATTATAGTGCAGAGTATTTTCACCAAAAATTGCTAAGAGATAATTTTTAATTTTAAATATGTGTCCAAAATTATTTATAGTACACTTATGGCACTATAGTACTATAATACCCTTTGTACTATAGTATACTATAGTACAAATTTTGCCAAAGATGAAAAGGAGAGGATTCTCTATTTTATATTTTGTTCTGATGCATGTACATGTACATACGTTGTGTTGAAACTTGGAGCTGATT